CAATTTCAACCCAAATCATACATTCTGACAGATTCACAAAACCCTAAAGAAAATGAAATTTTCAAATAAAGACGAAAACTTCAACTTTTCTGTAATTCCCAGTTCTGGTTGTTGAGATCGATGGAGGAATTGTGTTACCTGGTGAGTTAGATCAGAGAGATCGGACTGAACTAGCAGGAGCCGATCGAGAGCGTCGTCGTTTTGGTGGTCCTTTTCTTCTTTATCATGTTCTTCGACCCTAAACTTGTGCCCTTCCTTTTCTTTCTTCTTCGCGGTGGCGGAGAATTTAGAGAACGTTACTCCGCCGCCGCATCTGCCGCCATTGTTGTTCGATATCTCCCTCAACGCCGTCCTCACTGACCTCCCTTTCTCTTCGTTCCTCGGCATCTCTCTTCCGCTCTCTGTCTCCGTCACTCTCTCCTTTTGAATTTCATCAGTGGCGCTCAATTTTCATTCCCATTTTTTGCTGTAGTTATCGGGTCCATCACTTTATTTGATCGGGGCCCGGCCCATTACACCCCAGCCCACCACATAATTGAACCTAGACTATGAGTCCATATTTAGCACTGTCAATCAGATTTATTTCTACAATTTTTTTTTTTTTTAGGACATCATACTTTTACACTAAGGAGAGAAGAAGTTCGGCTAAGTCATACATTAGGCAACCTAATTTGATATCAAATTTACCATTCACGAGATTTGAACCTAAGACCTCTCACTTACAAATGGAAAGGAATACCACTAGACCGTAGTATTAAGTAGCAAATTTAATTCAATATTTTTAGTCATGTTAGCTTTTTTTTCTTTTTTTTTTTTTTTTTTCCCAGGTCACCTTTTTTCAGTTTAAAGGGTCTTTAATCTTTTGACTATAATAGGGGTAGGGGTGGTTCGGTATGGGATCCCAAAATATTTGCTGTATTTAGGGATGGTTCGGTATTCCCAAATTTCATATATATTGAAACACCAATCATTCATACTAAGTCAAATTAACATGCAACCAAAATAAAATAAGTAACAAACCACCAAAAGCAAAAATTTAAGTTACAAACCTAATATGTTCGAAAACTAACAATACACTTTTTTGATTTCATGTTGAAGACATAGACACATTTGGTTGAGAAGCAGCAGTGCAAGGTGAGTATGTGTGTGTGGGAGGTTCGTACCTATAGATGTGGCGATAAATCGCTAATTATATTGTTACTAGAAGTTAGCAACAATTTAAATGTGTGATAATATATATATATATATATATATATATATATATACCAAAAAATTGAGGAGACAATACTGACTCTCATACCTAAATTTTGAGATCGGTTCGGTATGTCATCCCGAAAATTTGGGGAATTTTTTGGTTTGGGATTTTCGGGAATTTTTTCCAACCCTAAGTATGGGTCATCTTGTTTGTGAAGCTTATGTAGGGTTCCTATCTCTTTGTGTGTGTGAGTGAATATATTCTAGGTCACAATTTCACGAGCAGTGACTATCTCCAAAAGAGATATTAAAATTTAAACCTAAAATTTAAATTTGAAGGCTTACATGGTACTTTGACATCTTTGAAACTTTTGCTCTCCAATCAATATGTCAAATTTTAAATATAAAATAATAATTCATGTACTTTCTTTGCATTGGGACTGAAAAAAAAAAACAAAAGGATAATGCTTTAAACTAATAAAAATTAATAAAAAGCATTTAATAATTAGGGTAAAGTACAAAAAACTACCTCAACTATTGGTCTCAAGACACTTTCATACCCCATCTTTTAAAAATGATAATGTCATACCTCATCTTACGAAATTGTGCCAATGTCAAACCTCCGTTAGTTTTTTTGTTACCTTTTCTGTAAAATGCTGATGTGGCCAAAGATGTTAAAAAAGTAAAAAATATATATTTTAATAATTAAATATTAAAAAAATTAAAAATTAAAATAAAAACTAAAAAAAATTAAAAATGGCCTAAGGGATCCGGCCTTCCCTTCTACCCGCACCAAGCCTTTTTCTTCTTCTCTTCGACAGCCACCAAACCCTTCCCCATTCCCCCAACCTTCCTCCACCAGCCTCTATCTCTCTCTCTCTCTCTCTGGGATTCGATCTCCCTCCTTTGTCCTTATCCTTACCCGCACTCGTCTTTCCCTCACCACCACCTCCCAACCCGACCCAACCCGGCCACAGATTGCTCCCACCATAAAAATCCTAACCCGACCCATCCCTCCTCTGTCCCGCGACCAATGAATGCTCCGACAATGGAGTAGCCCAAGAAGGAAGAAAACCAAAACTGCCGCTCATCCTCCATACTTTCAAGTACTTGGATTCGTGATCTTAGATCATGGTTTCTTTATTTTCTCCACCAGCATTTGCTTCTGGGTTTTGAATTTTGGCTGCGAATTTTGTTTTCAGATAATAAAAGAGGCACTTTTGGCTTTGAACGAGAAGAGTAGGTCGAGTCCATACACCATATACCAAACCCACACCTAGATCCCTCCTCTGACCTCTCTTTTCTGTCTGATTCACCGTCAACCTAACACTTCCTCCGACCTCTCTCCTTCACTCGACCTCTCGATTTCCTCCTCATCTCGGCTGTTAAAACCCTCCTCCTCCTTCCCACCTCCGCTCTCTTCGCCTTCAAACCCTCCCCTCGTTCCCACCGTTGTTATCCTCCTCGGTGTGGATGGTTGCAGAGAGAAGATGGAGTTAGAATGGGAGAGAGATGCAGGAAAAGATAAAGAGAAGAAACAGAGAAGGGTTGGTGTGGGTGGAAGAAATGAAGACCCGCATCCCTAGGCCTTTTTTATTTGTTTAATTTTTTAACTTTTTTTTTAATTTTTGAATATTTTATTATTTTTTTAATCCAGTTGGATTAGTGAGCAGATCCCGTCTTTGGCCGTGTCAGCATTTAACAGAAAAAGAAACAGAAAAACTGACAGAGGTCTAACATTGGCACAAATTCGTCAGATGAGGAATGACATTGTCATTTTTAAAAGATGAGGTATCAAAGTGTCTTGAGACTAATAGTTGAGATAGTTTTTTGTACTTTACCCTAATTAATTAAAAAAATCTAAAGGTGCTGTCAAATTTAGCAGCAAGGGGAAGAGATGTCATATGTCAATCCATATTATGCCACATCAGTTTTGACTTCTCAGTTAGAAAACATTAATGTTGTCTTTTGTTACTGCTATTACTGATTTGAACAATTTGATATCTCATTTGAAGATACTCTCATTAGGATAAAGCTTTCTTGCGGATTTGCTAGAGTTGACCGTCATTCTTTTTAACACATTCATTTTGGTTATTAGCTAGGCACATTTTTTACAAATCTGAGCTAAAAATGACCTCTAGCCTTTTGGTCGAAATTGAACCTTCTGACCAAAAGACATGATGATAAATGTCAAATTGAACCTAGACACAATTCCGGACCTGAAAGACGCACCCAACACAGCTCCATATTATTTCACTCCCTAACCCAGTTCACCAACTCACCCCGACACTGCAAACCGGCGCGTCAAACCACTTGCCACCCCATACCAGAGAGGCAGCATGGCTGGTACCTTGGTGGAAACCCGAATTTCACAGCAGAAGCTCAACGGCGGAAGCCAATTCCCGCTAGTTATATCTTCGCCTCCTGCATCACCAAAACCATCGAAGCCGAAAAACCCTATGTGGGCGGGGCAGCTCCTCGGACCAACGTCGTGGGTCGGGTTTTTATCGCCAACGAGTCCCCCGCCCGACCAGAAGATTCCATCCCACCACGAAATGGCTCAGGTATGTTCTTATTGCACGGCGCCTGTGGTGTGGTGCCGGAGTACCCATCCAAGTTGTTTTTCTTCTGTGAAGTGGAGCCTGGAAGTGGGGGAGAAACTCCGATTGTTCTGCGCCACATTGTGTACGAGAGGATGAAAGAGAAGTACCCGGAGTTCGTCGACAAGTTGGAGTAGCACGGGTTGTTATATAACCGGGTTTTGGGGGAAGACGACAATTCTTCTTCTCCAATCGGCCGTGGCTGGAAGTCCACCTTCTTGACCAAAGACGAGCATAGCTGAGCAAAGGTATTGCTTCAAATTGTACAAACTCTACTTCACTTTAGCTGTACAATGAGTAATTTTTCAGTGGGCTCTCAACACTAACACCACGTGTCATTCCAAACACATTTTTCAGTATGATCGTAACACTAACACCACGTTATCGTAGTGTCACAAGCCCACCCAAAATGTATATATAAAGACGTGTGCAATTATTATTATCTAAACTGTGTAAACTCTAGAAAGGTAAATCACATAAATTGAGTGAGCGTGTAACGCCACGTCAACATGCCACGCAGGTAACATACATTCGTCTAATACGTAAATCAGATGAGCCCTCAAATGTTTTTACTAAAACTTTTGGCAGGGCTGCTAAGCTTGGCATGAAGTTGGAATGGTTGGATGATGGAGTGAAGTCAATCATGGGACCAATCCCTGCCATCAAATTTAACAGCACAACGCAGCGCAAGATTTGGTTCAACAGCATGGTGGCAGCGCATATACCGGCTGGAAAGATGCAAGGAACGACCCTGTAAAGGCCGTCACTTTTGGAGACGGCAGCCCATTGCTGGCAGATATCATCCACAACTGCTTCAAAGTTCTTGAAGACGAAAGCGTTGCCTTCCCTTGGAGCAGAGCCGATGTTTTAGTGCTCGATAACTTGACTGTCCTTCACTCCCGGAAATCGTTCACTCCACCTCGCAGAGTCCCAGCTTCGCTCTGCAAATAGTTTAGGTCTATAGATTTTAGCTTCTCTTCGTAACTTTTACTGATATTTTTGTGGATGTTTCCTTGAATTCGAAGTATATACTAGACGCTTTCATCCACTCGAACGGCTGGATTTTGAAGCGCAAATCGGACGTAGAAACGAGACACTGAATTTCAACGAAGAAGCTCAAGGCTTTCTAGAAATTGAAGATGAAAACTTGCTACGGCACATTATATGTAGGGGTATAACAGAAAATCCATGTTAAAAGTAAGATATAAGTTTCAACTGAAGATAACTTATATAATTAAGCTACTGAAAGCTTTACTTGTAATACAAGGAAACAACCCTTCCTCAGCTCCTCCAGTTAATTTTACATTATATCAAAAAAATTCCCACAAATGACAATACAAAGAATAAAACATTAAACGGGCAAAAAAGAGGACCGAACGAAAATGGCCACTATAAATACCACCAGCTTATGACTACGTACGCGCCGCTATACACACATAATGATACAGATAAACGAGGGACGAAAGAATGAAATATTGTAGGCATCGGGTTGAAAGAGAATCGCGGTTTCACTATCTTCCCTGAACAAGGCCACTGAATACCTGGCTGTTCCCTGCAAGAGTAGCTTCCCACTCCACTGAGGATAGGAGGATCTGTGATAGAGAAATCACAACTCCCTTCATGTCAGGCCGTAGGATGGGGTCCTCGTCTACACATTGCTTTGCTATCATGGCCACCTGTGTAATCAGTTACGCCAACAAGAAGAAATGTACGCGTTACTGATGAACATTGAAATACGACTTCAAAATTAACCTAGTCGTTTGTTTTGTATACTTTGACGACATAATTACTTGCAAGAGAGGTGTGAAGTATTAACAGCCACTTTCTGTAGCATGATTAACTTGATTAACAAAGCTCAGGATGACTTAAAATCAATGTCACATTTCCATATTCAAGCTGATGGGTCAATTCTAGTATAATTTACTTCAACTTATAATTCTCTCACAGGTTGCGATCCCCATTCCGCGGTCCATTGAAAGAATAAGCGCCACTTTTTCACTCAGATTTTCATATAAATCAATTTATATGTCAATTGTCATCGGAAAATTATAGCACTTTCTTGTACCAGAGAGAGGTACGGTCAGTAAAAGCAAGCAAAAATATTCATCACTCCGGATGAGCTCAAAAGGTGATTACTTTACCTTGAATAGGCAATCATGAGGATACAAGTCCATCATATTTGGGTCAATGTAATCCTTCAAGTTTGACATGCTCGTGGAGTCTGGTGAAGTCCTTAGAGCTGTTTGCATCTTGCATTCAACCAAAAATAGGGACGTGTCATACAAATAGAGCAAATAACAAGAATTCTTGCACTAGAAACATTTGCAACTAATAGAAAATATTTGGAAACTGTAACTAAAAAGGGCAACAAAGGGATACGGAAAACCCAAAGGAGACCGAGTCGCATGTCGATTTTTCTAGGAGATGCAAGTAAGTACAAAATGCAGGTGCAATGGAATAACTAAAATCTAGCTTTTATTTCTCATTGAATGTTGTCAAGCGCATGGTTTTTAAGTACAGAATTTTGACATTTGAATGGAGATTGCTCTGATTTTCCATAAGGGTAATATGCTAGGGAGACCAAATTTTTAAACCAAATTTGCAAACCAAATGATGTGTCACCAATATGTATAGGTAAAATCATATAAATTTGACTTACTTGTAAAGAAATGTTATGTTCCAAAGGATCATTATATCGTTTATCTATTGAGAACAAAATTATGTCTCCTCAGCAGAACTTACAATTGACACCAGTGAACGTCTCTCAGAATTTTTTGTGGCTGTGCCTTCAGTTCGTATAACGGCCTCCTTCCCCGATATAAGCTCAAAAAGAACAACTCCAAAAGCATAAATATCACTTTTTGTAGTAGCACGACCATCACTCAAGTATCTACGGAAGCAAGAGATAAGAAATTAAAACTTGAATTTGTTGAAGACAAAGTAGTTAACTGCAAGTACGGTTTCTTACTCTGGGGCCAGATAACCATATGTACCAACAACTTTGGTTACGGTAGCTTCTCCATCACTCGTTTTACCAAAAATTCTTGCCAACCCAAAGTCTGAAATCTAAAATACAAAGACAACAAGTTCAATAAGTGAAATGTATAAATGTATAATGCACAACACAAATGGAATCACTACAATATCTTAGAACCTTTGCCCTGAAGGAACCGTCAAGCAAGATGTTGCTTGTCTTGATATCGCGGTGGACATAATGAGTTTTAGTGTGCTCATGGATGTACTCGAGACCTCTAGCAGCATCAAGTGCAATCTGGACCCTCATGACCCAGGAAAGTGATGTATGACCTATAATACAGTTTTCATCATTCACAAAGATCAATAACATGTGCATAGCTCAACAACACAAAGTTCACATAATTTTGGAAAACAGAGTAGATTATTAGCCAATTTTTAATATGCTTTAACCTGAATACAATTATGGACCAAAGAAAGCAACAGGAAAGTAAAAAAAAAAAAGCCTCCAGGCTAGCTTATGACATTTTAGTGTTACCATGCAAATTACCTTTGTTCTGAGGATCATGCAAATGGCTTTTAAGTGAACCTTTTTGGGCATATTCATATAGAAGGAAGAGCTCCTCGTCATTTGCTGTATAACCAATCAATTCTACCTTAACATAATTAAACGCAAATAAAAGTCAGATTTCTAAAACATTGAAAGCAACAAGCTCCAAAACTACAATGAGACTTACTAGATTTGAATGATGAACCTTGCATAGAACTTTTATTTCTGCCAGAAACTCTTTAGTTTTTGTTGCAGTCATTCTTTTAATAGCAACTTCCTGGATAGAAGTCAAACCATTACCCACAAGGTGACAAAGGTGTGACAAGGAATCTTACACTAGATGGTAAAAGAAAATGTAAATTATGGGAACCAAAGTAGAAATCTGCGAACCTGCTCACGGAGGAGGCCATAATACACGGAACCATATGTTCCACGGCCCAGAAGACGCGAATCAGAAAACCCATCTGTTGAGGAAAAAATATCTTCATATGTGAAAACGACAGGCTTCTCCACATCAAGTACATGACTGCCAATAGCTGCAACAAGTAACGGAGAGGATCAGTCAGACATTCCAAGATTAAGGAGGAAGACCACATTTTGGTATATAAAGATTGGATAAAGAAGCAGATTACACGCACAAACTGCATTCTACGTTCTCTTTTTTTCCTTATACAGAGAATACTCATCACTCATTTAGAAAGGCAGAACTTCATAGTTAAACATGAGGAATAAAATACAATTTGAGATAAGAAAATTCAGACATTAAAACCTTTGGGGATAGTTGTCTGCTGACTGCAAGGATCTCCATTAGTTTGCTTCCAATCTGATGAGGTGCAACACATGTACCTACCCGAAGCACAACAAAAACTTGGCTTCCGAAGAACATGAAACCTAACTTGACCATCAGGATCTTTTGAACTACTTCTTTGTGCTTCAGTAAAGCAGCTTGATGACCTCAGGCAAACATATAAAACTATGCCTAATACAATCACAACAAGAATGATCCCTAAACTCCCTACAATCCATAAATATGGCAGATGCGGCTTATGATTCTCTTCATTTGCTGCAAACAAAAAGTAAACAACTTATTATAATGATTTAAAAGATGCAGTATTGTGCACTACGTTGTTATTGAGTGGGAAAATCCAGGGAAATTAGAAAGGCAAGGGAAAGCTAAGAAGAAAGAGAAATAGGAGGGGATGCTTAAAAAAACAGTTGTTTCAAAGCATTAACAACTAATATTCTCATCGAACTAACAAAATTGTCTGGAAACAAAATTTGCAACAGATTTTGTTGCCTCTGCTCCTCTGTGCCTAAAGTGTGTGCAAAAGATTAGAAATGCATCACAATTAAAAAATGAAAACGAATTTCATGCGTATTTGCACGGCCATCTTTCTTTGCCTTCTTGACAATAATTTTAAACATTAAAAGTATACAGATTTACACTATAAATTAGCCCACATTTCTTCACAAGATCCCCATTGAGATATTGCATTGAGAATCTTAATTTGTTTCTGATCATCTTTCATTTTATTCAACGAAGGGCAGCATAAACTTGAATCTATGTCTCTAATGAAAAACACTTTATCATGTAAAACCCTTATTTGTTCTGCTACTGTAATGACTCCAATGTTTCCTCTACATTAAGGTCAACAAAATTTGACAATAAAAGAACTACTACCAAAGCAACCAGTTTTAGTTTTAATTTTATGCATATTACATTAATAAAACTATCAGCTTGCCATTTCAAATTAAATTATCGTAATTCCTCATGATATATCAAAACCATACCTGAAACACTGGCATTGGATGGAGAAGGAGCAGGAACAGGAGAAATCGTCTCCAAAGGATACGGCTCACCAGGAACTAGAACCATGATAAAAAATCAAACAAATAAATTTACAACATTGGTATTTAGCTCTAACCATAATGACCCAGGAACAGGAAGATCCATAAATGAGATAGGAATACATACGGAAATTTAAACAAGTACTGATTCCCAATCGACCAATTTCTATTGAGCATCATCCATTCGCCTAGCAAACCAATGAATTTTTCCTTTTCATACCATACTTACACTTGATTGTAAGTGTTAGCAGCAAAATTTGGTAAAGGTACAATCATGGTGATTTGATCATTGCTCCACTAAACATGACATGATATCTCAATTAAAATTATTAATAAACTGAAAGACCTGCACTATGCTTCCTCAGTTTCACTCAGTAATTCATCTCTAAATTCTACTACATTGTTCCCACAGTTTACTACACAAGTTTAACTGAATTGCATTTTCGATAACTTTGAACTAATCTAACCCGAAACCAGATTAAAATGGACAGCTTTCCCTCGCAGTATACCAACAATTATACCCAATAAACACCTCCACTAAATTACACAAACAGAGTAAATCATAACTAAATCACATGAACCGAAAAAATAAAGCAAAAAAAAACTCACCTGAATTCAAAGGAATGTAATACAGATCGCCAACAGTCACATTATCAGGATCACTAATCCCATTCACCTTCTCAATGCTATCCATACTAACCCCGAACCGGCTAGCCAGAGACTCAGTGCTATCCCCATCCCTCATCACATAACTCATCAGATAGTTCCACAACCCACTCGAGCACCCACACATCAGCCTCAACGACACAACTGCGCCGTACCCGGCCCGCCTAGTGGTATTAGGCAGAAAAGTCAGCCCACCATAGGCCTCCATAACCATGTCATAAACATTCCCATCTGCAGATTTCACAGTAAACGTTGTGTTGGTCAAGTAACTCTTGATCCCCTCCGCACAAGAACAGTTCTTCTTAACAAACACGTAGCCCCGCCCGTCGCCGCCCTCAACGGTCACATCTTCCGGCAGTACTGTCGAACATGCTCTGAATCACCGGCAGAGTCTCATTGGGTTCCGGCTTAAAGGCCAAAAAGGAGGTGCACAGGCGAGTTGTGTCCGTACAGTTCATGGGGCTTGGGGCGAAAGCTGTGGAAAGGGTAATTTGGAGAAAAAGGTGTAAAAGTATTGGTATTGGATTCCATTGAAGCTTCATGGTCAAGAAAATTAGTTCAGAAAAAAGGAAGAAGTTGAAGAATTGTGAAGTGGGTTGTCGAAAAAATGGTGGCTTGATCAATTGGTGGGGTGAGATCAAATATTTGACAAATTGGGATCTGTTCAGCAGAATGATTGCAGTACATTGGTAACACAAAAAGAAAAAAAGGGGAAGAATTGGGAAGTGGGTTGTTCTAATTAGCTCAATTTATGGGTGTGGATTGTGGAAAAATGGTGTCTTGATCAATTGGTGGAGGGAGATCAAAGATTTGACGAACTGGGTGTGACAGCAAGAACTTCGATGGAGAAGCACAAAGTTGAGCTAAATTGATTTGATGGGTTTGGGAAGAAATAGTAAGACTTGTGGAGTGAGATCAAGAAACTGACCAACAAAGTCCAACTGCTGCTGAAATTAGTGTGAGTTGGTGACAAAAATTTATGGCTAAAATCTAAAAAGGGGTTCTTAATTTAATTGTAATTTTTGTATATTTTAAGTGGTGATTTGGATTTGGAGTGAGAAAGATTCGGCAGGTTTTGGAGGAAATAGGAAGAATTTAGCAGCAAGAGTATGGAAATGGAGGAATAAATAGGGAGGGTGGGTGGGGACTAAGGGATGGCAGGAAGAAAGGAAGAAGGGATTGCAAACAGAGCATTTGTGCAGAAAACTCAACTCTTTGGTTAAAATTTTGCATGCAACAGAATGCAGTGAAAAAAAAACAGAGAGTATACAGATTTGCAGAGAGCCACCCACCTGGGCATATTGTGGACCATTTGATTTTTCTGATTTTTGACTAAATTGCCCTTTTCATGGCTTCCTAATCTTTTCTTTTTCTCAATCAAAGAAAGGGAGGTGAAAAATGTATTGAAAAATTGGAGCCCTTATTCACTCATTAAAAATAGAAGAGATGTGATCTCAATAACTCATTATACTCAATTTTAGTTTGGAAATCCTATCTACTTTGACCAAGTTCAAATAAATTCAATTAAAACTTAGAAAAATTAGGCTAAAACTCTAGTTGTGTACATCAATTTGGTTGAGCTTGAATAACAAGTTATGTGGAATTCAGCATACTGAATTTGTGTCTAAATTAGGCTCACATATCAAACTGCGCATTCGGGTTGTAGTATCATGTTGAGGATTCAATTTCTATAATATAATTTGGTAAAGTTGAATTTACAACCTAGGGGGTGTATTGTATATGGTGTTTGATGGACTTTGCTTGTTTTTGAATTGTAGGTGTATTTAATACAACATTTTAAGGAGTTAATAAATAAAAGTCACTCTGTATTGGATAAAGACTTTTTTGACTTCTAGAAAGTATATGAAAATTTTGTGACTTTTTGCAAGTTACAGAATTCTAAGTGTATTTAAAATTTCATTGATTTTAAAGGATTTTAATAGACTTTGAGTGCTTATAGTAAGTTTATTGTCATTTCAAATCCAACCTCCACCCTTAAATTTTGATGGATTTCATTTTTTTTTCATTTTGATAATATACTCCATGATCCACCATAAAGTAATGTTTATCCTTCCACCACCATGCCACTGCCACCACCTTACCATGACCATCTCTCCAGCCCAACCGTCACCATTACCATCAGCATTGTCACCACTGTCATTGCTATGAGCACCACTCCATTGCCACAGCCACCTCCATGCCAGACCTCCTCGACTACTACCACCTTACCATGATCGTCACCATTGTCCCATTTTCACCACCATACCACAACCTCATACGACTACCTTTTTATTATCATCCTCACCCCTACTATGACCACCACTGATATCATCTTTATCGTGACCGCCACCTCTACCACCATCATCACTACCCCATCATTACCGCCCCAACCCTACTCCACCACCCCAACCCGCCACTATTTCCACCCGTACAATTATCGCAATGACCAAACACACTACTTTACTACCAACATATTGCTAAAAATCACCACATGACACTTCCACAATCTCATACGACCATTTTGTCATGGTCATAATCATCGTTTCAAATAGTGTGAAATATTTGAAAATAATAGTACTTTATTAATTAGATTGGTCATTAAAAAGTCCATGACAATCCACATAACTCTATTACTCCATGATTAAAGTCTCAAAATGTCACATCCCGACCTGGGGCGGATCACTTCCTGGACCCGCTCCACCACCGTAGCACGATATTGTCCGCTTTAGACTTACCATTCCTCACGGTTTTGTTTTTGGGAACTCACGAGCAACTTCCCAGTGGGTCACCCATCATGGGATTGCTTTAGCCCCCTTCTCGCTTAACTTCGGAGTTCCTACGGAACCCGAAGCTAGTGAGCTCCCAAAGGCCTCGTGCTAAGTAGGGATGGGAATATACATTTAAGGATCACTCCCCTGGACGATGTGAGATGTCACAATCCACCCCCTTAGGGGCCCAACGTCCTCGTCGGCACACCACGGCTAGGGTTAGGCTCTGATACCAAATGGCAAGCATCCCGGGCCGGGCCTGAATCACTTCCCGGGCCCACTCCACCACCGTAGCACGATATTGTCTGCTTTGGGCTTACCATTCCTCATGGTTTTTCTTTTGAGAACTCACGAGCAACTTCCCAGTGGGTCACCCATCATTGGATTGCTCTATCCCCCTTCTCTCTTAACTTCGAAGTTCCTACGGAACTCGAAGCTAGTGAGCTACCAAAAGGCCTCGTGCTAAGTAGAGATGAGAATATACATTTAAGGATCACTCCCCTGGGTGATGTGGGATGTCACAATCCACCCCCCTTAGGGGCCCGACGTCCTCGTCGGCACACCACGGTCAGGGTTAGGCTCTGATACCAAATATCAGGCATCTTGGCGCGGGCCGGATCATTTCTCGGGCCCACTCCACCACCGTAGCACGATATTGTCCACTTTGGGCTTACCATTCCCTCACGGTTTTGTTTTTGGGAACTCACGAGCAACTTCCCAGTGGGTCACCCATCATGGGATTACTTTAACCCCCTTCTCGCTTAACTTCGGAGTTCCTACGGAACCCGAAGCCAGTGAGCTCCCAAAAGGCCTCGTGCTAGGTAGGGATGGGAATATACATTTGAGGATCACTTCCCTGGACGATGTGGGATGTCACACAAAAACTCTATTAAAGTCCATGTAGAATTCGATCGACATACACATGGATTCTATGTAAATGATGCAGTATATAATATTGAAAAAAAGGAACAAACTCTAGAACACAATAAATCCTTAATTTTTGTTGATTCTAATAGATGAGAATAGCCAAGAACAAAGGAAACCTATGCCATGTTGATTCCTACAGAATACCCAAATTGATAGAACGAAAGATAGTAAACTTGTGCTTGTAATTTAACATCCAAAAGTTGTCTTGACAAATCTAGACTTACAATGATTTGTAGTGTTCATCCCCCATCCCATACATTGAACTCATCACCCAAATTAATTTGATGCATGAACCCAATTAATCCCAATACAATGAGCCTGGTACAAAATACTTACTGATGACTCTTAGATAATCCTAGTACATGGAATATTATTTAAGCCAAAATTACTTTTTAATGCACTGTATGGACTTCCTTGTACATGAATATCACAATTATTCATGTATGTAAATGCTACTTTGTCTACATCACTAAGTCAAGTAAACCTTTTCAAAAATCTATGTGTTCATAATTCCATGAAAATATATCAAACTCAATATACAATACATTCCCCCTATGCTTAACCTACATTCGATTTTGTTGATAGGGCTAATCGATGCTCTCTAACGCGCTCATAATTTAAATGAATCGGTGTTTAACCCCTCAAGGTTGTGGTCCTAGACTAGTTATGAGGGGCTACAAATTTTTGAATTAAGTCTATTCAAACGTTTCATCATTTAGATTGCAGGTGGAGGGATTTTGGTCGTGGTTCAAGGAACCACCGGATTTGTTAGCTGATTTTTTGTGATTGAATATAACGGTGAGGAGACTGGTCTTTAGTCTTCGGCCTCTTTTTAGTCTATTGTGTACTCAGCCTTTTTTTTTTCCTGAAACGAAATTCCATGGCCGCTCTTCAAAAACTCTGTTTTTTTTTTTTTTTTTTTTTTAGATCGGATCACTTTAACAAGAAGTTTAATTATTAAACAAATTTTGCATTGTCACGATGAGTTTGTTGGATTGCTCTTTAACTATATTATTGATCATCACACAACTTGTAATTGATGAATGATTTAGAATAATTGTTGATCATCACATAACTTGTAATTGATGAATGATTTATATGTAAGATGTTTTTTTTTTTTTTTGTAATTTAGAATATAAAGTTATTTCACATATTTAAGAAATGAGGAATTTTTGTGGACCAATAAGTAGTTAGGATAGATTTTAAGATTCTTTAGATTTAAACCCTTGCAACTCCTAAACTTTAGACAAAAACCCACATGTATGATAATTTCTAAATAAAACTCAAATTTTGAATATGATGTCATGTTGAATAAAAGATGTCTATGAATTTGTGTTTATTTACAAAATCATGCCACCATGTCTCTCTTATACGTTTTTTTAGACATTTAATTTGTTTAATATATTTTAATTTTGTGTGAACTCCCCCCAATCCAAAACCTAATTAGATCAAATATATGCGGACCCATATTCTACATATTAAAAAAAAAAAACCATAAAAAGGAGTTGGTAAATTAATTTTGTAAAAAATTTAAAAAGTAGATACATTAACTTTGTAAAAAGTCAAAGATAGGCACAATATTTTTATAAAAAATAAAGAGTAGGTAACTTATTTTCATAGTAGTTAAATTATTTTCATATAATTATATAGTAGGTAAATTATTTTTATAAAATTAACCAATAGATACTGTTCAAATTAAACACTAAATTAGGCATTTTCAAATTAAATTTATTGTTGAAATTAAAAATATTTCCAAATTAATTCCTACATCTAGAACTATATTTCATGGCTACAATACCTTGCCAAATTCAATGCATGTGATCAATTAAAATGTAATTACAAGATCTTTCCATACTGGCTTAGTTGAAGGTATATTAGGGATCCAAAAAGTATAAAAACTGACACATAACCGTAATTTGGTAAGTTGCTTAGTTGGATCCTGATTATTGGGTTTTATTCAGATAATATATGATATGATGGGTTATGGGCTAGAAAAAATAAATTTGGAGTGGGAAAGTTAAATTCTCAGTAGATTTTATTCCGTACAACTAGTTTGGTATTGCTTTGCTTTTTTTAAAAAAAAAAAACTATTTCTACTGTGTTGTGAGAATAAACAACTGTAAAATAAAGTTGTTGAGTGTTTAGTAAACTTTTTTTTTTTTTTGTAAAAGTACTTTAATTGTGACAGCCCGTCCCAGACTTTTCGTACCGTAGGGGTGAAATGACGGTTTTGCCCCTAGTATGTTTGTCTTGTTGTGTGGTCGTTTTTGGGCTTTGGTTGGCTGATTTTGGACCACACACACACTCACCCTCATTTCTCTCTCTCTGCCCTATCCCGAGACCCTCTCTCTCTCCCTTTCCTATCATTTTCGTACGGACAACACCAGAAACCCTTGAAATTGTCACGGATCAAGGAAACAAACTATACATTTGTGCTCGTGAGGTTGTTAGGAGTTCAACCATACCCATTTTAGGTA